CCCATCCAATTCAAGCAAACGTGTGATGATAAGCAGATCACACTCCACAACAAGATCCTCCAGACCCACTGGATCCAACCCGAAATCCGGCGTGATGATCCCGGCAAGAAACAGCGCGTCAAGATCTCAGGAGATGAGCAACAGTAGAAGCAGAGAGGCGTTTGCTAGTTACTTGGAGCAGCGTGAGCGTGGTAGTCCTCGTAATTACGCTTCATCCAAAGGGGCAAAACCGGGAGCCAACTCACCATCGGCGTGGGCGTTATCCCCGGGGAGAGTTTCGACGATGAAAACGTCTCTGTCCAGCTCAGCTCCGGCGACTTCAATGTGCATGACGCCGCCTGAGTCGCCGGTAAGCGCAGCCAAGCTGAGAGGCGGCGGAGGTGGAGCAGTGGCCGGAGTTTTGAAGTACTTCAAGGCGCAGAAGAAAGTATCTCCGGTTCAAGAAGAGGAGTATCACCGGTTTAGGGTTTTTCACAACAGATTACTTCAATTCAGGTTTGTTAATGCAAGAACTGAAGCCACTATGGCTAACCTTAAAATCAACGTTGAGGTACAAATTTATGACAATATGGATATAATGTGTATAGTCTGAATTAATATATATAGAAATATTTATTAAGTTGTTCGTGTGAGTGATTTCAGGATCAGTTGTTTTGGGTTTGGCTTAGGATATACAAAATGAGGAACTACATAGTGGAAAATATAATTGAAGTTCAAAGGCTCCGACAAGAAATTAAACTACACGAAATTCTCAACCTCCAAATGCCTTTGCTCAACGAGTGGTCCAAACTGGACACGAAAAACTACGAAGCGTTGAGCAAGCTAACTCGAAAACTGCACGCTTTGTCCGTCCGTTTACCACTAATACATGGTGCCACGGTTAGATAATTTAATTGTTTATAGAAAGAAAAAATTAAACATTTTCTTAACAAATCGAAAAATAATAATTTGGAAGTTACAGATAGATGTGGTTTCCATTCATGAAGAAATGGTCATAGCAATAGAAGTCATGGATGAGATCGAAGACATTATCATCAAGTTTCTCCCACGAGTAATTCCAGTTTACTTATATAGATCTTTTAATCTAATTAATTATATATATTTTTATATAAGAATAAGAAACTAATTTAAGAAAGTTTTGGTGGTTACATATCAGCAGGTTGAGATAATGCTTTATGAGGTGACAGAATTGCTGAGCATGTTCAAACAAGAATTGTTATATTTTGAAGAAATGGAGAAGAACCTCTTCTTAGTTCCTCTCTTTGCGGTAAATCATCTACCCCTTTCATTATACTTGACCGGTCCAGTTCAATCGATAATTTGAGAATGATTTTGATTGGAGAAGTCATTGTTCCAAAATTGTTTGATTTTTTGTTTATTTATTTTTCGATTTGGATCTTTGTTCTAACAGGCGAAGGAGAGTAGCTTGAGGATCCATTTTCTACAGAAGAATGAAGAACACAGACCAACTTTACAAAATTTATAATCAGTATTTCTCTTACAACTTAAAGGTTCGGATATGTAACTAAATATTAATTACTATACATATTTTGCAATGCAAACTATTGGAGAAACTGAAAAATAAATTTATTATATGTTTAGTATCGATCAGTCCCGATAGGAAAGTAAGACATGTCACGATAGATAAATCATGGTATGACAAGTCATTATGTGACGATACATTGTTATGACATCGTTGATCAGGTCGTTATTATCGTTAT